GAGCTGTTCTGTGCAGCAGGGCTGTGCTGGTTTGAAGGATTCAACTGGCTTTTGTTCTTCTTTTTGTCCTTTTTTTTCCCCCCTTCCAGTTGGTTTGAATTATTTTGGTGGTGTGTTTTAGGCATGGTTGTTTAGTAGATGAACTGACCCTTCTGAAGGGATGGCACAGCATTACTTGGGAGAGAAACAAGCACCGAGGAGGTGGGAATTATTTTAAGCCAGTATTGATGTTGAAGACTTCATCTGATAAATGCATTTAAATGCACCTTTTAATGCACTTCAAATAGCATCATGTATGTAAAGTGCATGTTGTCCCACCATACCACATGTGAAATTCAGGCATTTAAGCTGGATTCATCCCATACCTGTAGAGTTGAACTTCACTTCATTGTCACAAAAATGAAAACCAGGTTTTGTTACTAATTTCCAGTCAGAAACTTGTTTGTCCCTGCTGACCTTTTAAAAGGTTGCAGTAAATCTGAGGGTTTCCCTAAATTTTTTCCCGTTTTTGGCTCTTCAAGTGATGATAACAATAATTCTATTTAATTTTAAACCTCAACTTGATACAGCTTGTGTAAAGAGATACTGAAACAAAACAGCAACTGCTGTGCTGCTTCTGTTATCTCTGGAGTAGAATGTTGCTGGTGTCCACAATATTATTTTTATAAGGGTCCAAATTGTCCTTTAAATCAGTTTAGGATGGGGAGAGGAAGAAACTTTGAAATTCAGTGTTTTATTTCAGCTGGGCTGCTCCATATCGTGATATGTCACAAATTCTTGACAGTTGCTGTAGCCATATCTGGCTCACTTTTCTGGACCACCTTTTTTGGAACAGAACTGAAAACTGCAAATGTCACTCATCTCCCTTTGGGATCTCAGTTCCTCTGGTCAGATATTGCTAACATTATTGGCACCTCTTCCTTTCCTAGAGGGGTCACGTTTTCAGTGTTTTCTTCTTCTCTTGGGAGCAACCAGTATTAACACTCCCCTTGAAAGAGAGGAGATCATTCCACTTGGTTACAGCCCTGGAGTCCTGTCCAATCTCTTATCTACTTTTTTATTAACCTGTCATTGCTTATTTCTGCCCTAATAGTTGTCTGTTATCTAACACACTCTGCATTTTTCATTCAGCTTTCCTAGCCCTTTGTTCTCACAGTGCTGCTGTTGCAGGATGCTCTGTTCTCCCAGGATTTGCAGGATGCTCTGTGTTCTCCCAGGGATCTCCTCCTCAGTAGGCAGAGGTCAGGCATCCCTTGGGAAAACAGCAGTGGCAGTTTGTGTGACAGCTTTCCAACTTCTACTGCTTCACTTTGAAGAGTTAAAGTCCACGCAGCAAACTTGGCAGAAAATGAACACTTCTTACTTGTTATAGCTCAAAATTTATCTCTTGGCTTAAACTTCCAGGAATATTGTTTAAATTAATTGAGGTTTGCATTGGAAATAATGAAGAAGACCTTCCACAGTCTCATGGCATAGTCTGTTGACCTTCAGGGTGAGAAATGGCTACAGGACAGCTGAGGGTAATAATGTTAAATTTCTCCAGCTAGCTGGAGACATGCTTTGAAGAGAACTGCTTCAGAAGCACTTCTGCCCTGGCACAGCATCAGACACTTCACTGAGGTACCTGGGCCATGCTGAGGAGTTTTATAAGGGCAGATCACTACGATAGGAACTTCCAGGATCTTACTGGGGGGCCCTGTTTTTACTGCTTTTCAGGAAAAATCAAGAATTTGTTTTAACTCTGATAGTTTTGTGACAGAGTACCTTCACATTATCAGTTCATTTGTGCTTTTTGCAGTTTCCCTCGCCCAGTGAAGAATACATGGTTGAACAGGAATGCACCAGCACAAAACAGGGACTCTGTGATTCCTTCTCTTGAGAGTGTGGTCTTTGGCAATAACTACACAAAACAGCTATCAGCAGATGTAAGAATATAACCCATTAAGATTTGATTTGTATTCTGTTGGTTGCTGTGAATTTTATATTTGCTGCAGAAATATTTCTTGAGAAAGAATGAACTTTGTTAGAATTACTTTGGGGTACCATGTGATAGGGGAAATGAGAAAAATTATTCTAAAAGGCTGTTAGATGCTGCAGGAGCATACAGATGGAAAGCTTACAGTACTAAGTGTTTAACCTTCTTGTATAATGTATTGCAATCCATTGAAAATTCCAAAAATATGGCTGAGGGTCATGAAAGGAGTTAATAGCTTAGCTTTTTAGTCATCCTGCTAATGCTTCATTTATCCTACAAAATTAATCTGTGCCTATTTTCTCCATTTTAGGGTTGCAGTTTTGTTGTTTCAGAGGCTTTCCTCAGTCATGCTTATAATTTCCACTACACACTCTGTGCCAGTTTGCTGCTTGCTTTCAAAGGGTTGCACAGCTATTTCATGATGATCACAAAGGAGCTCCCCTCGTCTCACCGCATCGAGCTGGGTATGTCCAATTTAATGAAACATCACTCCCATGTCAGTGTTTATTAGGAATACAGCTCTTCTGGGCTAAACTGTCATTGATTTCATATGTCTTGCATATCCAAAATATTTTTCCTTGCACTGAGCTGGAATTTAATAACTGAAGACAAAGTTAACAAGAAACAAGTACTGTCACATTGCTAATGAAATGAGGAGATAACAGCCTAAATTTATGCAAAGGTATTTTTTCTTGTTGGTCTTGATTTCCTCTGTTATTTCAAATCACTGTGTTTAGAGGTGAGAAAATTAAGCACACTGCACTTCTCTGTTTATTATGAGGAAACCTTGTATATTATAACTCTGTAAGCTTTGATTTGAGAAGAATATTTCAATGAAAACTTATCTGAAAAAGACCAGCAAGAAAAAATTGCTGCTGGCTCAGTTTGTAGTGTAACTTTTTAAGCAGACTTAGTTGCCAAAGAATTAGGAGAATATTTGGCTAGACAAGAGCTGTTTTTATAAAACCAAGTTACAATATCCTTTCAGAAAAGATAGTTCTTTAATAAAATTCAACTCTTACAGGACAGTCTCATGGAAAGAAATTTAAGTTCTATGGCAATGAAGACTACTAGGAACTGCATTTGATAAAAGTAACTGCAGAAGTATTCCTTGAAATGTAATGTATGGAAATGTTCATATACATTACATTTCTGTAGAGAGTATAACCTCAGCTTGGGAGCAATAGAAGTACTATAGGAAAATACATTGGCATTGTAAAGAGTGATTTAAAGAATGATTTTTTTAGTCATGTTCTATTTAAGTCACTAAAATAGATCTTTTGGAATTTGCATGGATTGTAGACAGCATTTATGGATATTTTCAAGATCTGAAGGGCCTACAAGGAGCTGGAGAGTGACTCTATGTTATGAACTGCAGTAAAAGGACAAGGGGTAATGGGTTCAAACTGAAGGAGGGGAAGTTTAGGTGAGATATTTGAAAAAAGGTTTTTCCTGTGAGGGTAGTGAGACACTGGCACAGGTTGCCCAGGGATGTGGTAGCTGCCCCAACCCTGGCAGTGTTCAAGGCCAGGCTGGATGAGCCTTGAGCAACCTCTAGTGAGGTTGCTCACTAGAGCACAAAAACTGAAAAAAACCAGCCAGTTTTTTTCAGTTGTATATTTGAATTGTATCTTCCAAACCTCATTGAAGTCACCAAAAATATTCATAAGCTTCAGTGGAACTTGAATCAGACCTTTTCTCACCTCTGTGGGTAATTTAGCTTACCTTTAGGAATGCAACTTTGAACAAAAATGCCCAAAAATAAATATCTGAAGAGAAAATTATAACTGAATTTAACATTCATTGTACATATTCTGTTGACAGTTTGTTTCTTTTGGGTTTATTTTTTTTTATTTTAATTAAGTGTCTGCTAAAATTACTTTGCTTTCATATTTGTAAACATCTTTTTCATTTATTTCAGTTATTTTGTATGTACATTGATTGGGACAATTGATATAATAAAAAGGACTAATCATGTAAATATTAATTATTACTCACCTTTTGCTCATGAAAAGCAACTAATGCCTGCCATTAATGCTAGTTTTCCTAAAATCCATCAACAATTAAAAAAAAGCTGGTTTTGTAATAACTATAAAGATATTGAAGCTCACTAGACTTCACAGACATTTGCACTTATTTTTATTTTTAAAGTAAATTAACTATATTAACTCGTGGATGTTTGATCTGTGGAGTTTAAAAAGGCATTGCAGAAGACAATCTCCAGTCCTGTTTAAACTCCAGAATCATCACTTCTTTGTTTTAAATTATTCCCTCTTTAATCTTGCTTCTCCTGTTTGCTTTGCTGGTGCTCTGTCATATAATTTTAACCCAAGACAGTGATTTTGCAGAAGCATGTGCAGACAACTCTTGGACTCGATAACCAGTTGAGCATTGAAGTGTTACTGGGTTTGGGAAATCAAATTTCTACATTGATGTGTGTCCCAAGTGATACTTAAGCTACACTAAAATGAAGTTTTCGGGTACTGATCTAACCGCACTAACCGCTAGGCTGCCAATGAGCTCTTTGACTAACTCTAAGGCAAATAATAAATCACAGATGAAAAAAGGAGTGTAGTAACTAGCCATGTGTGTGCAATCCCTGTGACTAGCCCAGGCCAGCATGCAGGTCCTTTATGAACGACTTCTCAGAAGAAAATACCCACGAACCCAGAGAGACGCCTACCTAGGTATGTTTGCAAAGCAGCTGATGTAACCCCTCAGATTCCTGTTGGTATTGTAAAATATGATCTGCTTCTTAATAATATAAAAATATTCCATGCTTTTGTAGACAGGAACACTGTTTCACTCTTCAGCCCTAGCAAACGTGTTCAGCTCTGAAGTCTGAAGCTACTTCTAGGCTGAATAGAGATACTAAAGTGAGACATTATGGCTGGTTTTTTTGGTTCTACTTCACTCAAGAAAAATGATTGAAGAGTTCTGTCAGTTGTCAGCATTTTAAAAAATAGCTCAAAATTATAGTTTGATTTAATTCAGCACAGACTACTTCTTTAGATAATTGAAGAGTAATACGTTTTCTTCCTGAGAAATCTCTTCAGGTAACATTTAGCATCTCAAGACTTGATTCTTTCAAGCACTACACAAGACATTATTAAAGCTTAAGGTGCATCTGTCCATATCTACGTGGCCAGTTCTCCCTTTGGAGAGTGGCAGTGTTGGCCTGATGCTGGGCAGGAGATGACAGAGCTGTTTAAGCAAAAGGAAGTTTCTGATGGGAAAGGATATAATGACAGTTCAGTCTCACAGTAGGTGACCAGTTTGATCATCTCTAACAGCATCTTTTGATGCTGTTGTGTAAAGAAAACAAAACTACTTTTTAGCAGAGCCAGCAAAATTACATCAGATGTTTGCTGGGTGATCATTACTGCTGTAGAATGTTAGTGCTTAATTCCCTTTTGTTTTGTGTTCCCTCAATTCTGTTGTGGCTTTTTTTAAATATAACATTGTGGGTTGAGATTTTCATAATTATTTTAGATTTCAGAGTTCTAAATCTCCTTCAAAGCCAATTCTCAATTGACGTGTGACAAGATAAATAAACAGTATTTAATATTTTCATTAATGACAAATGTTGTGTGGTCACACCAAAAGTAGCATCATATCTTAAGTTGTTCTCACATATTTTCAGAATAATTACCATCAATTGCCAATTACTTAAACCATTACTGTTTAAGTAATACAGGTGTATGTAGTTTCTTTCAACAGCTTTTGTGAACTTGTTTCTGAGAACTTCATGCAATTCTGCAATTTGCATATTTTCTCAGAACTCTTGAGTTGTGGGAGTTAATTTGTGTGGCATCAAGTTTAAACCTAAATTTAATGGATGCAGTTAGTTGAAAATCAATATATTCTTACCAAATCTAGGTGGTGTAATTCAAAGTAAGGGTAAATAAACTCGTTGCAGTTCTGTAAACCTGTGTTCATTATCCACATCCTAAATCTACTGTTGTGGGTTTCGAGGCATGTTTTGCTGGAATATGTTTTCAGGAAACATTGTAGTCTTTTTGCCTAATGTTGTGTTTCAAAAATGAAATATAAATACTTGTTGCTGACAATTTTAGGGTTTATAAATTGTTCCCTTGTTACTGCTACCTGAGATGTGGAAGGAAATTAAACATGGCACTAAATTATTATTTAATTTATCAAATTCCCATAAGAAGGCAGGAATGATTAACAAGGGAAAACATCTACATGAAGGAATAAATCTGTTTTCTCCATAAATGAGTCATTCAAGGTTCAGATCCAGTTTAAGCTGCCATAATGTGCAAGACTGATCTGCTCTTAGCATTGAGGTATTGAGAGAAAGATAAATTAAAGGAGAGTTTTAGTTGACTGAAATATAATTCCTCAGTCAATTAAAGAATTGTATTTATATTCATGTAGCTTGCAAATTGGGTAAATAATACACCTGTAGAAAAATGGTGTTGGAACAAGGTTTCTCTGGGAAGAGAAGAGGAGTTGTATTACCTTGGATGTGAATGATAACATTGCTGCTGAATAGCTGAGCAGCTCCCAGAGAATATTAGGCAAACTGTATCATCTAAATTACAATGTTTTCAAATTGTAATTTTGAATGGAAAAATCAGTATCCTTGACGAGGACTCATGATAGGTGATCTTGATAATTGGAAACTTTTTGTATTGTGTTCTGTTCTCAGTCTCAGAAATTGCTGTGAAATGATTTTAATGAGAGTTTATAATTTACTTGGCTATGGCTTCAAGTTTTATTTGATGGATTCTTTTTCATGTGTTAAGATTGTTTTGTGGGATAATTGGTTTCACTCTGCAGCTTGGAAAGTACATTACTCATGGATATGTCCTCTTGTTTTTCCAGAAAACATAGATGTCGAAGTTCGTCTTACAGAATTGTGTGAAGAAGTAAAGGTACAAATTTTTCTTCATGTATTAAATAAGTGAAATAGCTATAAAAATAGAGTGCTGATTTCATAAGCTACTTCAGAATAAACTGTTTCGAGGATAAAATCATGTATGTTTTTGGGGTCTTTACTGTCTTTACTTTTTTAAAACCCTTTGCCTCAATGCCTTATGTGTCTGCAGTGAATTTCTGAGAAATTGGGGTTTTTTATAAAATGGCAGGGAGCATAAGCCTAGCTGTCTGCAATTGCCTGGTGTGGGACTGTATCACAGGATTACAGTGCATGGTTAAGAAAGAAAAACTTGATTTCACACTGAATTTGTCTTGGGGTGATCTGGTCCTAGGAAGCCTGTGCTATGGCACTGCTTCCTGACCATGTTTAGAATCATAGAATCACCAAGATTGGAGGAGACCTCTAAGATCATCAAGTCCAGCCATTAGCCTGTCACTCTGCTGTAACCCCTAAACCATATCCTCCAGCATCAGATCCAGACACCTCTTAAACACTTCCAGGGATGGTGACTCCACTACCTCCCTGGGCAATCTGTTCCAGTGCCTGAACACCCTAAAAGTGAAAACATTTTTCCTAACATCTAATCTGACCCTTCCTTGTCCAAGCTTATGGCCATTCCCTCTAGTCCTCTCCCCACAGCCATGGCAGGAGAGACATCCCCCACCTCTCTACAACTCCTGTCAGGTAGTTGTAGAGAGCCTTGAGGTCACCTCTGAGCTGCTTCTCAAGGCTAAACAAACCCAATTCCTTAGCTGTTCTCACAGGAAATGCTTTGCAGACTTTTTCTAAGCCTTGTTGCACTTTGCTGGACTTGCTCCAGCACCTCAATGTCCTTTTTTTAATTGAGGTCCCCAAAATGGAACACAGCACTGAAGTGTAACCTCACCAATGCTGAGAACAGGGAGAAATATATGGAGATGTAAAATGTATGGAGATATGTAGCATCACATAAAGATTATTGTGAATTGTGACTGTTCTGAAATGCAGATGTCTGTGAAATTTTGACAATTTTATGAAAGTTGGACTAAGATAGCAACTATGGATTTTTGGTTTCCTGGTTCCTAGTCCTTTCAGGCACACTGTGTTTTTACCTGTTAGAAAATGCAACACTGCCAACTTGGTTATTGTTACTATAAATGGAATTGTTGCTTTAATTTAAGGTCAGGAGTCCTAATTCTAAAAGGCAGCTGGATAATGTTCAATGCAACATAAAATGATCTAATAGTGTTGTAACATGGATTGATTCAATTCTGATACTTATTCAAAACAGTTCTCACTTGGAAGTTGCTTTGTAAATTAAAACTCTCACCTAGATAAAGTCCACTTGTTTTGTTTCTTGTCTGTATATTATGGTTTCATCTGTGAATCATGTAAATATGTTTTCCTGCCTTCAGAAAATGGAAAATCCTGATGAACTGGCAGAACTTATAAATATGAATCTTGCTCAGCTTTGCTCACTACTAATGGCTCTCTGGGGACAGTTTCTGGAGGTCATTACCTTACAGGAGGAGGTCACAGCTTTGCTAGCACAAGAGCATCACACATTAAGAGTAAGTATTGACTCTGACCCTGTTCATATGCTTACTGGGACACACTGTTATGGGAATGTGCATACATATGAGACTCCAGGTTATAACTTTTCTTGGTTTACTTGGGAAAGTTGGTTGGAATTGTAAAGGAACTGCTGTATCGTGTTTGTTACTTTGTGTATCATGTATTATATTCTTGGGCATAAAATATTTATGTTACCAACCAACTAAGTCATTGTTCTCTTGAATAAGAAATGCAGGTCAGAAGGCAGATTGCAGTCTGTGGAATAAGATATTTGTGGGAAATGATGTATTTTTCTGTGGGAGCAATGCCTAGTGCCCACCCTGTATTTTACTTTCCCGCTGCATGTAGGCTGCCTGCTCAGTTCATAACACAAAGTTTACTTTCCTTCTGAATTAAGAATTGATAACATTCATAAGCCTTGGAAAGGCTTATAAGTGGGATTTTAAGAAAGAAGAGATATGTCAGAAGTGATCTGGCATGTGAGTCTGTGTGTGTGCAGTCTCTGTGGGCTTTGTGCACACAACCCACAGTGACACTGCTTCACACAGTCAAATATATCCAAGTGTCAGCTAAAGCATTACTCTAACTTGATCAATCACATTGCTCAGTGGGGGAATCATGGTTGTGGAAATGGCCTATCCTGGAGGACAAATGGAGTCTTTCAGGAGGAACGCAAGGCGTATTTGTTAGAGGTGCTGCCCATGGGAAAGGGATCATTGTCCTTTCTCTCTGTAAATCTTAGCTTTCTGTGCATTTCATATAAATTCTGGATCCTTCAAGTTAACTGGTGGAAGGTATGAAACGAGTACTGTGTCAGTTAACCTGCACTTGCACTCAGCTGCTATGTGTTAGTGTTTGTACGAGTCGATACGTAATAAAACCTACAACTCTACCCTCTACAACTCCCTGACAGGAGGTTGGAGTCAGGTGGGGGTTGGTCTCTTCTCCCAGGCAACCAGCAGCAGGACAAGAGGGCACAGACTCAAGCTCTGCCAGGGGAGGGTTAGGATGGATATTAGGAAGAGATTTTTTCCAGAGAGAGTGCTCAGGCATTGGAATGTGCTGCCCAGGGAGGTGGTGGATTCACCATCCCTGGAGGTTTTCAAGCTGAGACTGGATGTGGCACTTAGTGCCATGGTCTAGTAACCACAGTAGGGTTGGACTTGATGATCCTTGAGGTCTTTTCCAACCAGGTTGATTCTATGAAACCAAAGGAAGAATTAATATTTTAATTTTTACTGCTCCAGTGTAAGACAGTGTTAGACACTGCTAGTGATTATGTATTCAGCTTCTTAAATGTGGTTCTTTTTAAAATATGTGATGTAAGTCATCCTCCCTAGCTCTTAAATAACCTTAATTACTGAATTTTACTGCAGTTATTTTAGGGACTAAATAACTTCTTGCAATATTTCCAGTCTATACTTTCCACAGGAAATTTCTCCCCAGGAAAGTTTAGTATTAATCTAAGATACGTGAAGTTTTTTAAAGAGTGATTAATCTAACTGGTTAAGATATTTATGTTAAAGTACCTCCTAGAAATGCTTGCCAACTGTATTTGGGCAAATGACTGTCACCCTCTTTGCCTAGATGCTTATAAAACAGGTGTTTCTGCTGGAGTGTATTTTAAGTATTTAAATATTGTATAAAATACATTTAAATTACTATTATTTTAATAATTTTACTAATGTTTACTTAAGTGTTTCAATATTTAGCTGTTTTCAAATACTTTGACTAGCAAGCACTGCATTAAAAAGTCAGGAACACTTTAGGTTATACTGGAACATCCACCAACTACATCATCTTACTGATAAGGTTTACAACTGTGTTGTATTGCAAAAACTGCTCAGAGGAAATAATTTTATATTACAAAATGTTTGAATGCTAAACTAGTTCATCTCTTTATTCCATAGTGACATCTTCTGGTAGGTCTGAACATACCCTTCCAAAATTAGTCCTTTCAGTTTGATTAGTGCTGAAACAGGAGAGCCAAAAACTAAGATCTCGGACTGCTACTCACAAACGCACAGGGATAATATATATCCCGTAGCAGTTTTTATATGTGATTCTTCTGTTTACATTGGGAGAGCCTTACAAAATGTGCTTTTGGCAAGTGTGTAGGGATGAGGAAGAGCAGACCCAGTTTCCTCCTGCAGTCATGGTGGAGTTGACCCAAGCTGGTAGTGCCTGCGTCACTAGCACCAGCTGGTAGTCGTCGTGGTTCTGCAGAGCCTGTTTAACAGCATCCCAGAAAATGCCTCAGTCCTTCAGTAAGCTGAGCACTGATTAAACATAATAAACTACTGTTGATTGGGTTTTTTCACCCCTCTCTTTACTGTAGACTTATGTGGGGTTTTGGAGCTTGCTTTCAACTAGTTTTTATGCTCTTGCTATTCTACCAAGAGCTGTCTGGAGCTGGTAATCAGATTTTCTTCAAACCACTGGAATTACCTAAACAATTACAGATAGGGTTTACTGCAAGTGAAAAAAAAAAAAAAGCCAGCCTTTTCTGGTCAAGAGAGTGGCAGAACTCTAGAGATACGGTCTCCATATAGCTCCAGTTCCTTTATGTGGAGAAGTGCTCACATCTAAACTCAAGACTACCTTGTTTGCCTCCTGGGAAACTGTGTACTTCTTGACATGAACCACAGGCAATGTTCCTGTAACTGTTACCTGATGATTAGGATCTTTAATTCATTTTTAAATTGCTTAGTTTAGAACAATAACCAGTTGTCCTCCATGATCAGTTGTTCTGAAGTTTAGTTTTCAAGCTGTAAAATTCTCTTTATTGTATAACAGTCTTCTCCCTTCCTGGAGTAGAAGTTGGGGATTAGTTCTGACAAAATCATCTGTTTGCAAGGTAGATGTCTGTTTAGAAAAGCCATCTGGGAAAACACAGAGGAGTGCTTAGGAACACCAGTTCTAATCCCACTTGTGTGTGCATCAACTCCTAATGTAAATTCTGCAGGAAAGCAGATTGAGTTCCTGGTTACTGCTGAGAGTGGAAATTTCATTTACATGAAAGTGTCAAATTCAGTGTTTTCTTTTTACTTCAAAACATTTTCCATGACTGTTCAGAGATGATGTTATGACTGAGATTAATTTCATGTAATACAGCAAAATTAATTCTAGGAGGTTGGGACAGGACTTTCAGCTTCTTGTGGAAGTTAGAGGTTGAGGGTTTAAAGTTTGTGGTTTGGGTTTTGTTTTAAGCACCTTGGAACAATTTTTCCCCAGTTTTTCTTTTATTGAAAAAAAACAACAGCCAAAAAGAAAGTGTAGAAGCTCCAGAACATAAAACTTCATCCAGATGGTACTCTGAAAGTATACTGGGCAGTGTAGTGGGAGGGAAAATGAACTGCCCTGCAAGTGCTTATCTCTGAACAAAGTTGATATGGTCCTGCCAGTTAACGCCCAAGAGTTTCCTAGTGCCAGGTTTGTGCCCAGGGTGGATGCAGGTGCTGGTGCAGCTCCAAGTGAAGTGAAAGAGCTGAGGGAACTGAAGTAGGTCTGATGGCAACTTCACCAGATACACTGAAAACTCCCACAGTCTGTTTGGGAAATTCGGTAACTTAACAGGAAGACTCAGAGTATATTGCAGAAATAAAGGAGTAGGAGGCCTGGAAGTGGTTGGTAAAAACATGATTGATTCAGTAGACTAACATGTGTGATTCTCCAAGTGGGTGCAGCCTCACCTTGAATATTGTGTGCAGTTTGGGTCACCACAATATTAGAAGTATATTAAGTTATTAGAGAGCATCCGAAGGAGAACAATGAAGATGGTGAAGGACCTTGAGGGGAAGCCACATGAGGAGTGGCTGAGGTCACTTGATCTGTTCAGTGGAGAAGAGGAGACTGAGGGGAGACCTCATCTCAGTATACAATTTCCTCATGAAAAGAGGTGCAGGGGCACTTCTGAAGTTGTGTCAGGGTAGGTTTAGGTTAGATACTGGAAAATGGTTCTTCCCCCAGAGGTGTCTGGGCACTGGAACAGCTCCCCAGGGCAGTGATCACAGCCCGAGCCCTGACAGAGCTCAAGGATCATTTGGCCAATGCTCTCAGGCACAGGGTGTGATTGTCAGGGATGTCTGTGCAGGGCCTGGAGTTGGACTGGATGATCCCTGTGGGTTCCTTTGAACTGTGATGATTCTGTGGTTCTGTTTGTTGACCTCAGGCATGCAATTAGGTCTTGAGTAGAGTGCTTATAATTAACATATATTCTGTTACTGTCTTAGTCATTTGCAGCTGAAATCTTTACAAACAAAAGATTCTTTTGCATAGTAGTTTACTGTAGGTTAGACAGTGTTTGGGGGAAGTTTGAAACACTTGCTTCTCTGTATTCTGAGACTGCAGAATGTCTGATGGTTTTCTGCTTCTGAAGGTAACCCTCAGGCACATTCAGAAGTGTCAGTTGTTTCCTTTCCTCTCATTGAAATTTCTCGTAGTACTTTTGGTTGTTATTGTTTCGGGTGAGCCTGATTTGGATGCCTGATTTATTGGAAATTGAAAAAGGAACTGTCTGTATTATGCATACAAATCATAGAATCAACTGGGTTGGAAGAGACCTCAAAGATCATCAAGTCCAACCCTACTGTGGTTACTGGACCATGGCACTAAGTGCCACATCCAGTCTCGTTTTGAAAACCTCCTGGGATGGTGAATCCACCACCTCCCTGGGCAGCACATTCCAATGTCTGATCATACTCTCTGTAAAAAATCTCTTCCTAATATCCATCCTAACCCTCCCCTGGCAGAGCTTGAGTCTGTGAATGATTAGCATTGATGCATAAGAATTCTAGTGGATTTTTTCAAACGGTAAGTCATGTAACATAAGCTCTGACTTCCTTTGGCTCTTGCAGGTGCGCAGGTTTGCTGAAGCATTCTTCTGTTTTGAGCATCCCAGGCAAGCTGCCCTTGCCTATCAGGAACTACAGTGAGTAGCCTTCAAGTGCACAGTATGTAGTGTTCTTCTCTGGCTTATGTTGTGTAGAAGTAGCCTTGCAAAAATACATAACCAATTGGAGAGAAACTTATGTTCTCAATATGGATTTGAAGTAATGAAAGTTATCTAAGAAGTGATTAAATATTAAAGCTATTAATACCTAATGAGTAGAAAAGCTTCTACTAAAGCGAATCAAAGTGCTGCTAATTTCTGTTAATGTGGAAATAAATAGTTCAGTTTTTCTGATGGAGGACTCCTTGCTTTTGTTCAGTGCTCAAGGTCATCTACAGATGTGTGCAGCTATCAAAAACACTTCCTTCTGCAGTTCTCTCCCACCCCTCCCTATTGAATGCAGTGAGCTAGATGGAGATATGAACTCCTTGCCTATCATCTTTGAAGATCGATATTTAGATTCAATTACTGAAGGTAAACACCCCTCACAGTACACTTTCCTTTTTGAAGGAATGAGCAAAATTATGTAAAACCTGATTATTTTTATTTAATTTCTTTCTGGCTTTAAAGGATTACATTTATTAGCTAGGATATGTATTTTTTAGCTTGACTTTTGAGGATATGTAAAATTCTGTAATTATTAGTGTGTTAACGGCATCAGTTATCTGCATAATCTTCTAAACAATCCTTTCTCTTGTTTTGTTTTTTTTTTCCCCCCTTACTCTTTTTGGTGAAAGATCTGGATGTACCCTGGTTGGTAGTTCAGAATCTTCCAAGGGCAGAGTCCAATAAACTGGATAAATTTGAAGCTGAAGAAGGTTTTGTTGCTGGTTTTACTAGCCCAGAACTGAAAATAAGACCTGCAGGTGCCTCCAGCTTTTGGCATTCAGAAACTGAAAAGATGCTAACAAAAACTTTGAAAGGGAAAAATGAAGATGCAAATAAATCCAAAGTTAAGGTCACTAAGCTCATGAAAACAATGAAACCTGAAAATACAAAAAAAGTCATAAAGCAGAACTCAAAGGACTCTGTGGTCTTAGTAGGCTACAAATGTTTGAAAAGTGCAGCACTGGAAGAAGGCTCTAGAAGCTTGGAAGGCAGACCTTCCTGCAACGCCAGCGAGGGGCTGGACCCTGCGCTGGGCGGGTTTCCGTGGGATACAAAGCCCTGCACCAGGCAGATCAGTCAAAAAGACCTTCCATTTTTGCCACCTGGAACTGAGGAAAAGACTACCAAGATTGAAGGTGACCAACCAGCTCCAGGTAGTCCTGTGCACTGTGAAAATGAGGCTGTTTTGGATAGACTGACCACCTCCCAGACAGGTTCTGGAACTGTTCAAGCAGATAGTGCTTTACAGCTCAGAGGTACACTTGAAGGTTGTCATGGAGGTCAACCAGCTCCCTCAGGAGTCAGGACAATTGAGGTCAAGCCAAGTAATAAGAGTCCTTATGAAGGGGAGAAAGTAGAGGTTCACATTGGATCTTGGGCTGAGTTTCCCCAAGGTGGAGTGCACGGAGGGAACTTGCAGACCCCCAGTATTCAGTCTTCAGAATCTGGAAATACATCACACTCAGGAGAACAGGAACCAGTGCTTGGAAAGGAAGATGTCCATGAGAGAAACTCTCAGCCTACCAGTGACATCTTGACAAAAATGAAAAGTAATCCTCCTGCTCTTTCTACAAAAGAAAGTCAACTTCTTTCAAGTGGAGACATGACTAAATTACCAGATGTGAGTGTGACATATGCCTCTTCTAGGTTTTCAGATTCAGGTATAGAAAGTGAACCAAGTTCTTTTGCAACTCATCCCAACCCTGACCATGTTTTTGAAAATATTCAAGGGCAAAGTGCATACAATGGTGAGAGAGTATTTCCTCAGCTTTTACTAAAACCAGACTGTGCTGTAAAAAATGCAATAGAAAGCCATTGCACTGAGAGTACGAGTGCTGTAAGTGAAATACAGTCATCCCTGACATCCATAAATTCGCTGCCTTCAGATGATGATGAGCTGTCACCTGATGAGAATTCAAAGATATCTGTTGTCCCTGAACGCCAGCTAAGTGACAGCAAAACAGTGTTGGATCTAGGAGCGATTGACTTGACAAAATGTGGTGACAGTAAAACTTCAAACACCAATTTGCAGCAACAGGGTGTTGTATTTTCAGGGCACTCAGATAAAAAAACTCTGTCTATACATTCCTCACTCTCAGGAACACAAGATCTATTACACTTAGTTGTTTCAGATGAGGATACATCTGCTGATGTGAAAAGTTACAGCCCACAGGCAGACCCTGGCACAACCTGCAGGGGCTCTCAGGACACCGAAAAGCATCCTAAAGCTACAGAAGAAACTGTTAAATTGCATTTGGAAACAACTTGCATGGGTGAGACACCTGTGGTTTCAGGTTCTTCATCTGTAAATGCAGTGTATGAGGTTGAAAAAACAAATGAAGGAGAACATAATGAGCCTTTAGAACTAAAGGAGACAACAGAAGAATTGTCAGTAGCTAAAAGTGAAGCTGGTACAGATAATCCTTCTCCAACAGGTAGTGCTGACATGGTAAGGCAAGGGCTTGTGGAAAACTATTTTGGCTCTCGAAGCAGCACTGATACTTCAGATATTTGGCCTATGGACAACAGCAATCCTGTCAGCCCTCAAAAGGAAACCTATGAAAACCAAATTATTTGTTCTTCCCAACAAGATGAGGAAGAAGAGGAGGAGGAGGAGGAGGATCAAGAAATGATTGAAAACGGATATTATGAGGAAACAGACTATAGTATATTGGATGGAGCTTCCAGTGCTGACCAGGATCATAGCTCAGCAGAAGAGAGAGGCCTGAGATCTGACAGGATCGATAGTGGACACCTGCAGGACATAATGACTGTGCCTCCTGTCTGTACTCCTGGTTGTCTGTCTTTCCCTTCTTCTCTGAGGGACTCTCCTTGCAATGTTATCTGTTCTACAAAGAGTAAATCTGATACAATCACACAACAGCCAGGCAGCACATCCTACAGCTCAGCTTCGGCTGTCTCCTGGTATGAAAGCTCCCCAAAACCTCAAATGTTGGCGTAAGTGATTGTTTTACAACAATGTTTCTTACTTTAAAAGTTATGTTAATATAAGATAGAAGGAGAAAAGAAGTGTGGTTGGGCTGTAGAGTGTCTTCAGGGCTGTGGCTTCTGGATTCTGCATGCTCAAGTAACAGCATGTTTTAGATGTTCAGATAAAAAGTTGTGCTAGCACTGAGTTACTTTTATCATTTATCTTGTAATTTCATATGGTTTGACAAACTTCAAGCAGAACACGATTCTTTTGTTTCTCTAATATGTTACTCTTTTGAAAAGCCATTCAGCTGAAAAATGATGTTGCAATGGCTACTGAGCATGAAAATGGTGTTTTATGAAATGGAAACTGTTAAAATAGGAGGCTTGGGAAAACCTGCTCTGAGTTTAAAAACATAAACCCCAAACCACTCTGTAACTGGTTATCCATCTGAGGAGTTAAGTGAAGTAGATTTGCAGTGCCAGCCACGGTGATGTCTTTATTTTTAAATCTTTACTTCAATGATCAGAAATGTAACACCTCTATATTCGAGTGCAGTTTGGATACCAGGAAAGCCAAATTTAGAGGAGCATCAGGGTTGCACCTCCTCTTGTTGTGAACATAGGAGTTTCCCTGATAACCCTGTGCTGCTAAGTGAACATGGGAAGCAGCAGCTTAATGTGTTGTATTGGAGGTAAACTGTTGCTGTCAGAGAGAAGATTTAGAAGAGAGGTAGAAACAAGGAGAATGCTAAGCAGGCAGAAGAGATAAAAGAGCAGATAGTTTGTGAAAAGCAGTGAGAACAGGAGGAAGGATTGAGCAGTCAGTGGTGAGGGAAAACAGGTTAGAAGTGGACAGAAAAGTAGCATCTGAAATACTGGAGAGTGGGTACTGGTGTGGAAGAGGAGACATGAAAAGCACAGACTATTCAGGCTGTTCTGTAACAGTAAAAGAATGAACTTAAAATCAAATCAAGGACTTGGCCTTGGGAAAAGCAGAGTCTCCTGGAGCAGGAGATAACTGTGAATCCTGAGGGGATAATGTGCTCCATAGAGAACCAGCCTTGGTGCATTCAGTTCAGAAGACATGCCTTGAGTACAGACTGGAGTAACATAGAGAACATGCCTTGAGTACAGACTGGAGTAACTTCTGCTGCAGAGTGATAAGACCAGCTGCCAGCAGTGGCTGCTCTGTTTAGGCTGACTTCACTGGGGCTCACTCCTGCCAGCTAGTGAGGAATGAGCTGGAGATAAAGCTGGGAAAACAGAAGGTAGAAGGGGAGGGAAACAATGAGCAGGCAGAAGAGGGTGGGGGACAGCATGATGCTGTGAGGGATCATGCAGAACAGACGGATTAAGGAGGAAAAGAAGCATAAGAAAGCATAAAGCTTGAAGTGCTGCAGGGAAACTGATAGGCAATTAATTAGGTAGGAAGGTCATACACAGAAAACTAAGGGAGGGGGAAGAATGGAAGGAACACAAGGAGCTCCTAGTATGTGGGGAGCTCAGCTGTGAAAAACCTTATAGTGTGTGCCCTCATATAATATGGAAAAGATCAAAGTCTGGGTCTGGCTGCTTCTGGAGCAAGTTCAGTTATACAGCCTGGTAGGGAGTTTTTGGTGAGAGGTTACAGCACTGACTCCAGCTCTCTGCTGACTAGAAAGTAAGTTTGGCAAGAATTGTCAAAAGTCATTGTAAATTTACCTTGACTTCTGATTGCTTCTGATTCCTCTAAGTTGTTATTGCATGTAAACAAAGCTGTTTCTTGCTCAAGAACAGAACTAAGCCTGAATCTTCAGTGGTTTCAGAAATCCTTCAGAGTTTGCAGAGATGTTCAAAGGAGATAGTAGAGCTTGAGGCACAGTTTTTGCTAGAGAGGAAAAGGGGCTGTGGGAATCTGCAATAACAAACATTTTGAGGAAACGGCTGTTTTGTGGGGATACAGATTTGATAAACATGTTTTCCTTCCTATCAGTTACATACAATACAAAGCAAAAAGACACTAGGTAACTGTGTCCTAGAAGACCCCACGTTTGTCTAGCAATAGTAAATGTTGTTTTATCATAAATATGGTTTTGTTCCAGTTTCCTACAGGCAAAAGAAGAATTGAAGCAACTTAAACTCCCTGGATTTATGTATAGTGATGTTTTCAAACTGGCTTCTTCAATACCTTATTTCAGCATGGAGGAGGATGACTGTTCAGAAGAAGGAATACATCTTATAGTCTGTGTCCATGGCCTAGATGGTATGCTGGGAGTTGTGATACTGAACAAGATAGTTCAGATTAGCAGTGAGGTTTGGCTTTTGTCACTGGAACTCTGAACTGAACACTTGTGAAAGAGGTTCACTAGAGGGAAATGGGAGTCTGGTGTTGTACTGCTACATTATTACATGTTCCATAAAATCGTGTCAATTAAGAAGTCTCTGCAATGGTTGAATTCAGTAAAACTTCCATGCACACAAACCTATTTCATGCCATAGTTCACATTAGGTGCATCTTCCCGTTTTTCATGTCATAAAGGTATTTGTGTGTGTTATAATAGAATGGAGTTACTGACAAAACTGTTTTGATTAGAATTGTTATCTTGTCGAGGAAAATAAAATGTATGTATATTTTTAGGAAAAAAAAGTACTACAATGCATTAGTAAAATGCAGTCAAGTAAGGTTAGGTCACTGAATCACAGAGTGGTTGACATTGAAAGGAATCTCTTGAAATTGTCTCGTCCAACTCCCCTGCTCAAAGCTGGGTCACCTACAGCAGGTTGCCCCAGGACCCAGGCCAGTTGGGTTTTTGAAGATTTCCAAGGACCAAGACTCTGCTGTAGTAAAAATGAGAAAATCTGTTGCTGATTGAAAGGGTGGGAAAGTTTAAATAGCTTGAATATATTCACCTGCTCTTGTTTCACAGCATGCATACATGTTAGGAAAGAATATCCCCTTGAGTTAAGATATTTCTGCCATCAGTGCTTGTGTGTTTTTTTGAGACTCCTGTTAAATTAACCATGTAAGGAAACACAAGAAGCAGTAGGACAGTGTTGGACTGGACTGACACTGCAGAGGCACCTTCTTCATTTCTCAAATTCCTAAGTGAAAAATAAAGTTACAGCTTTTCTTTCTTCCTTTGGGCACTTTTAAATGGTACTCAGAATTATTCCTTCTTACAGTATAGATATTCAAGTGCTATTGTGGGCATAGAATTGGCTCAAAAGTTCACTTGACCCAAGAGCCTGTTGTTAAAAAAACGTGTGTTTGAAGCCTTAGGAAAATACACATATTTAGAATTTTCACTGGAAATAGTGAATTCATACAAGTCATTTCCTGTAAATAACAGATCTAAATTAAAATCCTGTTCTCGAATTGAGGCAGAAAGATTACTCTTTCTTCAAAAGCATCCATGATCGTTGATGCAGAAAGTTCTTCAGGGTGTTCATTAAACTAGCATTTGTTGTCCTGGATATTGGTCTAAATGTATCTTTGTCTGCTGACAGTCCACTCTGCCTTTCTATCCTATGAAAATGCTCCTTCACTGAATTCCTTCAGCTAGCTCTGAGGTCCTTAATTGACTTTTATCAAAATTAATTAGGTTTCCAAGAATGTAATGCTCACAGTGCTACATGTCTGTTGGATGCTGAGACAAAATCAAACTTGACTTCCTACATCCTTGCTTTTTCAGAAGTGTTTAGGTTGAATGTCATTTTTACAGACTCTTTTGTCACTTAATTTGACATTGCAGTTTATCTTCTGAAGTCTTCCTGAATTTTAATTAGGACCGAGAGTATCATTAGCTGTGTTTAAATATAGAGTTGTGTTGTAGATTCATTTCAGTATCTAAGTGCTTTTATTGCAAGTTAACTTTGCAGTTCTAACTCTTGATTGTTTTTCTTTTTAAGGTAACAGCGCAGATCTAAGATTAGTGAAGACTTACATTGAGCTAGGGCTGCCTGGAGGGAGGATTGATTTTCTTATGTCTGAAAGGAATCAGGTATTTGCCAACTAGAAAAGAATTTTTGTAAAGCAATAAACAGAGTAGACCTTTGGGCATGTTGATTTGGTGGCACTAATGTGTTACAGTTTGCCACGTTTTTGTCTTTTTGTTGTATTCTTGTGGAATCCATGGTTTGGTCTGTGGTTTGCATCAGAGTACCTTGTGTGGTGTTGAAGGTAAATATTTTAAGGAGTAACATTTATTGCTGCCACTTTGTTCTGTGCACTGTGTCTCCTAAATTCTCAGCGTAGGCACTTAGGAGTGTGGGTAAAATGTGTTCCATATTAATAGGAGAAATGGTCATAGTGAAAACTGGTGTGGCAAGAAGGGAGAGGTGTTATTTCAGAAGATGTGAGGAATGCAAAGTACATGTCTTGTTCTTTTGCCAGTGTACAAGATTCACAGCTGAGTCAATACAAATTACCTCCTGTGTTAAATTTGTGTAAATTTGATTATTTTCACATGAACTAAACTGGACAAGGTGCAGAAGACCAATTTTTGCTATTTGTCTGTGTGTGTGTTACCTATTGTATTAGACGTACTTGAGGGATGAATTAGAACAAAGTCCCTTCAGTGGCTCAAAGGAAAGGTTCATGTAGTGCAGTAGCATTTTTCTGGCAGTAGCTGCTGGGATGCTTTGCCAAACAGGCTGGACATGCACCAAGCTATGCTTCCTCTTCTCCAGCCTTACAGTTTGTGTCAGGCTGCAGTTGTGAGGCTTTGTGATTTGTGAATTCCACTGAGACCACTGAGCCAAACAACTGCTGACAGACTTTTCTCCTGAAAGCTGGATGATGCTTTTTGAATGTTTTACTTCTGGTTTGCACAGCTTACAGCTGAGATGTGTTCTATGGTTCATATACCTTAGTAATTCAGGTGCAAACAAGGAAATTGAAATCATTTCCCCTACAGCTTGATCTGTAAAAAAAAAATGCTCAAGAATCATTCCCCATTCTCCCCTTCTGTTAATTAAGTATTTTATAAACAAGTTTAATTCCTCCCTCAGGGGGCAACTGTAGAGACTTAGTCCATTCTGCATTTCTTAGGATCAGATGTGAAACAGTTTCTGTGCATCCATGATATCCTTCCCTGCCCAGCTGAAACTTCTTGTCATTGACAATCAGATTATCAGGAATGGACAGGGCATTTCAGATGTTTGTGCACTATAGACTTACAAAATGCTAAATTGATATTTTGTGTTCTTTCCTCAAGTAGCTGGTTACATGCAACACAGAAATGTAGATTACTGTTTTCATGTACACTTAGGGCTGGTTTTCCTTATGTAACTTGGGTTTGCATTTCTTGCCCTTTTGTCACCCAGGTATGCAGCACTGTAAGGTTCTTCTGGTTGGTTCTGGATTTGACTATCCTGGATGTTTGGTTTTGTCTACAGACTGGCATCTTTCCCTTTCCCAATATGTTGAACACTACAGATTTTAGCACAGATCCTTTGGACCTTGTGTTGGAAAGTTTTAGGCAGCCTTTGCCTACCTCTTTAATTCCTTACTGCTAATCATTGTAGAGTACCAGCTATGAACTGGGGATAAAGCTTTAAGGATTCTCTTAGTTTGTTTGTGTCATTTTGACTGAATAGTACTAACGTAGACTCTTTCTGCTGTTGTAATTGTCTCATTTGTATTTCATGGGCAGTTTGATTTAGTTCTGAATATGCAGTTTGGTCTTCTGTTTCACTGCAGATAATTTCATGTGCTGGGGAAGGCTTAGAAGTAAGGCTGGCTGTGTGATGCTAAGGTTTGATTTGGTGCATTAGAAGAAAGTAAAATGTGTATCACTTTTTTCCACCTTACAAGAAAATGACTTGCAAAAATGATAATAAGTAGCCTCAGTGTTTGCATTCAGAGTTAATGTGGATGCTTTTATTTGTGTACTGTTGATCAAAACACTGGGGAATGAGAATTTGGACTGAATGCAAAATGTGTATTGCAGCATTAGAAAATAGTTATTATTTTTTATTTCTTTTATTTTGCAGAATGATACCTTTGCTGATTTTGATTCCATGACAGATCGCCTTTTAGATGAAATTATACAGTATATACAAATTTATAATCTTACCCTTTCAAAAATCAGGTAATATCTGTTCTATACTCTTTATAGAAATAAGCTTAAAGCTATAGAGCCTTGAGTTGTTCTGAACTGTGATGCTCAGGATCAGGCCAAAAGAGAGGTGGGAGGGGGGAGGAGCAGGGGAAAGGAGAACAATGCAGAGAGGGAATTTCCAGCTGAAAGAAGTCTGAACAATGTTGTGAGCTCACCTGATTCTGCTGGTGGTTTTAGGGCAGAGTTAAGCATTACATTTAAGGAACTGCTGTCCTGTGCCTCCATAGATCAGAGAACCGTGTAATGTTCTGAGAAGTCGAAGGAAGCTGTAGCAGCATGATGTCAGGGTCAAGTTAGCTCTCTGATTTTATGGTCTCTTCACCAAGTATGACACAGCAGACTGTCTGTCTTGTCATTCCTACTAGGAAATTCCAGCTCAGCTGTGATGTTGAAGGGCAGCTGCATGAAAAAATATTTCATCATTTTTGAAGTTTTCTGGTTGTTTCATCTGCTGAAGAGATGGGTTACATCTTATTAGAAGGGTCACCACTGTCTATGCATTCCTCTTTTCTCTTTTATGTGCTTCCAGGGAATGCCTGTTCCATTTATTTTCTCCAAGTACAGTGCACCATGTGGGCAGACTCCCTTGCTGACTCCCCTGTGTGGCTGGAGTTAGTTCATCCATAGATGGAAGGAGCTAGTTCAAGCCTGACTCCATCCATTTGTTTAGGGCATCCTGAAATTATACATCTGGGAGGTTTTTTGTCTTGCTCATCACATACAAGTTTCTGCACGGACATGTGTTTGGTGTAGGCCTTATTCAGCTGGAGAAACATATTCAAACATAATCTCACTATTAAATGTTTCTATTTTGAGATAGATTTGACATCGTTAATTTTGTCATTGATCTAAAAATTACAAAAGCACTGTGTGGTCACACTAGTGTTGCTCAGACTGTGTTAGTACCCTAGCCATGGGAGAGAAGAGCTCTGTGAGCCACCAGCACACAGCAGTATCTTCTCTCCCACACTGTGCTCCTCAAGTTGTAGTGAGCAAACCCACCCCGTGACCTTCTCATCCTTCATACCTGAGAACAGAATTCTTGTTTGCTTTTGGTTTGCTTCTCTCTTAAGACTTTCAATTTGTAAATATTTTTTTCACTTTTGTGTATTACTTGTCACTTGAAAGAAAAAAAAAAAGATCAATTTTTTTAGTTCCTTTTTGAGGTGTATTTGAGGTTTTGGGCCCTGCCAAAGCAGAGGTTTTCATTCCTTAACTTTAGCTTTTCTTATGAGAAAGTCAGCAAACTCTGCAGCCATTCCCTGGTAGCTGCATGAGAGAGCTCTCAAAGATGTGTGCTTCTATGCAACTCCTTGAACAGACCACCCAGAAAGTACCACTGAGAAATCCTCTGTTTGAGTAGCTGATGCTTTCCTGCCTAATTTTGGTTATGCCACTGTAGAAAGTAGACTTTGTGGTAATTAGCTCTCCTGAATGATAATGGGTTTTCCTATAAAACCTCCCTGTCTCCAGAAGGAAATGTTCTCTGTACAAGTGCTGCTCAGTAGCTCAGTCAAATTAGACATCAGTCTGCAGGTGTGTAATGATTTTGGATGGCAGAGCAGCTGACATCCTGAGCTTGGTGGTTTCTGTCTTCGTTAAGCAGTGGGAAATCAGCGTCCTGGGGCTTCAGTGTAAGGAGAATGATGCTCTCCATAAATGGGGGGTTCTGCCTCCTTGGCCTCAGATCTGGATGGATTTATTTCATACTTTGATATTTTCAGGCTGCCCACATGCTCTTTTGTTTCCCATTTACTCTTTTCTTCTTCCCATTCTGTGTTATCACTAATAGTGCCTTTCTCTCCCAAGTTATAAGACTCTGCTTCTGTAGTGGCCATTCAGTGCCTGCACTCCTCCACACCACCCTTCATTCTGGTTACACACACTTCAGGCCACACAGAATAATACAAACTGTAGTGAAACTAAAACAACTTTAAACCTGGCTTGTTACTTCACTGCCAGACAATTGCTGTCACAGCTAAGACAAATTAAAATCAGCTCAGGTCAAGACAAGTCCAGAGACCTTCTAAGATTTTGTGCTGTCGGGTCAATGTAGAGTCTTGGGACTTCAAGTAATGACAAAATCCTATTTACTGTGCTGCCTTCTTGTACTGAGGAAAGGCAAGACACTCCCTGTGCTATCAGAATGCAGAGCCATGCTGTAGAGTCAGCTTCAGAGAATGTTCTTGGTACTACCAGTGCCAGATACTGCTCCAATTCACTATCCAACATGTGTGTTCATCTCTGAACAAATCTTTGTGCTCACTGCAGGCATGGACTGGAAGCTTGATTCAAACCACCTGCAGTTTGGCTATAAAAGAAAGGTTTGGTAAAGAATCACAGGAGGCTTTAGGTTGAGAGGACATCTGGAGGTCATTTGGGCCAGGTACCCACTCAAACCAATGTCACCTTCAGAGTTAATACAACTTTGCAGTGTGTCAGATTGCTCAGTCACACCTTTCAGGTTTGAAGTGCCTGTGAGGATGGAAGTCCTTCCAGGTAATCTCAGAGCTAGGAAATAAACCACATGTTCTTACAGTGAAGTTTGAGAAACCATTTTGCTCATGTCAGGCCTTACATAAATTTCTGATGACCTGTGCTGAACTTTAGCCTCCGGTGGATTATTCAGCTTGTCATCCTCTTCCCTAAGTAGCATTTCCTCTAAAAAAAAAAAGACAATTTTTCATGCTATGCATATATTAAATCATCTGTTCCATTGTTTCAGCACCTTATTGACTATGGATTTTGACTGATTTCTCTTTCTTCCATGAAGTTTGATAGTTGGACAGGATTTTTGTTGGTTAGCACAGAATAATGAGGTCGTACTATGTCTGAGGTTTTCTGCTATGATCTGGATTGGTAGACTTGTGTCATGAAGCACATTGGCAAACTCTAATTGTGTTACTGCAGCGTGTTAATCATATCTTGCACTCAGAAGATGCTAATGTTGCCACCTGCAGTTCAGAAATGCATTGCTCTTGCAGAGCATCCCATGAGTAGGGTGGATTATATTTTCATTTTACACTTCCCAAACTCTTTTAGAAGGGTTTTCTTTTTCTCCCCTTTGATTTGAGCACGTTCTTAAACATTTCTCTATGAGAAAACAGTATTAAGTCATCTTACGTGTTCACCTAAACATCTGAGTTTGACCACAACATATTACTGTAGCCTTTGTTATTTTTCTGAGTCTTTCTAAATTAAGAACAAGTGTTTAATCTTCAAGGTACATTCACACAGCTAATGGTGAGCACCTTTTTTTCCTCTTGCTTCTGAAGTTTTGGTTCAGGTCTGCCCAAATTCTTGAGGATGATAGGACTGATTGATTGATTGATGGATCACTGCTTTTTTCCCAGGCATTGTCCTTTGTTATAGCACAATATAAGAGTTTCTCATCCCTTTCTGACTTTTAGTCAATCCTGTCTGAACTGCTGGAGAACTGTCCAGAGAACATCTCTGCTAGTGTTCAGATCTTCTTTAGAAAACAGTCTCTTTTACTCCAGAGCAGTTATGTCATGCAGATCATCTTCAGGATAAACTAATTTTCTGTGGGCATCTTCCTGATCTTAAAGACATCTGTGGTTTCCTTGTTCTTTATGATGTACTCTGAGGGAATAGTTTTAAATTTAATATTCAAGAGAGACAGCAGCTCAGTATTTTGTTTTGCAAATGCATTGCTGTTGTGCTGACACCACAGAGCAGACATGGCTTTCATTTCACAATTAGTTAGGCAAACAGGGCAAGCTGAGGCAAAGAACCTCTGATTTGGAAATTTGGAAATCTAGTAGTAAAAACAAATGGGAAGAATATACTTAACATGGTTAAACTGTGTATTGATAATGATCAAATAGCTGATGCTGTCAGAGAAATACATAATTATTTAGAGTTTAGGAGTTCAGGGATGATTCTGCTATTCTGTAACAAATGTTTTAAGCTTTTCATTTAGCTTTAAATTGGAATGTTCTGTGTCAGTTGATTCTTGCTTGGGAAGCATTTAAACAGTCAAGTAATTTTTTAGCACTGTATTGTACACAGGAAGCTTTGTTGACAAATGTAGTGATCCAGAGCACATGGGAAGGATGTTATTACAGGTATAATGTCATGGCACATATGTGATCCAGCCATGACAGTTTTACTGTATATAGCTTTGGATGTTCTTGTGTTTTCTCCATGCCCTGAGATTACATCTGTAACATGGGAAGGCATTTTTTCCTTCTAATTTTGTGAGTCTGGTCTTTACCGTATCCTCTCTAAGTCAGTGCCTAGTTTGGTGTGGTCCTTACCTCAGCAGGGATCTGTAAGCATAATGATAAGGAGAATTGCTTTATTTTGTAGGGTCTCTTCTAAAGAAATGCTTTATCCAGGCTTGTGGATATGTCAGGAGGCACCTCAGATTAAGTAATAATTATCCGGAGATAAATAAAGTCCCGTCCATCTTTCTCCTAACTTGCTTAACAACTGAATGTAATATTCTCCTTGCAGGCACAAACTCCTCAGTTGGTCACTCAAGCCACTAATCACTTCTTTTGGTCCAGCTGCTAAGCAGATCTGATGTGTTGGTTCTATTTTTAAACCATCAGGTTCAGTTAGGTAGTGGTGTTCCCCCTTACAGGAGTCCTTTGGGAACCTGTCTCTGCTGGGCCGTTGCAGTAATGCTCACACATTTATCACACCATATGCCATCACATGCCAAGAGGTGATTTGTTCAGTCAGCACAGCTCATAAAATATTTTCTGAATACTTAGTGCTAAGGGAAATGAACCCAGAAATAATCATGGGTTTGGGTGGGAGGTGCTGGTAGAAGGATAGTTTGGGTTTTTGATGGCTTTTCAAACACAATGTATAGAATAATTCTGGAGGAGCTCAGGACGTGTTTGTAATGAGTCTGTGCAGCTTGAGAGATGTGGAGAAGCTGTTTTCTGTGTGGCCTAAAATAAGGCTTCTGAATGGAAACCTCATTAATTTTTTCCCTATGCTCTTTCAGCATTTTATGACACCAGTTTTCTTTTTCTCTGTTTAAAAGGAAAAAAGATTGCCATAAAATTCTGTATTATACTGGTGGTTTTTTCTTTATAACAGCTTTATTGGACACTCACTGGGTAACTTAATAATCCGTTCAGTGCTCACAAGACCTCGATTTAAATATTACCTCAACAAACTTCACACCTTCCTGTCCCTGTCTGGACCACATCTCGGTACCCTCTACAACAGCAGTGCTCTTGTTAATACAGGTGAGATGTTATTTCCAGTCCTATCTGTTCAGGGGAATTTTGTCTTTGAAATGCACTTAGCAATGCACATTTCTGCATGACTTTGATTATGGGGAAGTGTACATTTCACTGTCATAAGAAGAGAAGGTTGTGTGGAGACCTCAGAGCAACTTTTCAATATCTGAAGGGGCTAAAAGGAGCCAGAGAGAGACTCTTTGTTAGGCACTGCAATGATAGGACAAGGGGTAATGGGTTCAGACTGAAGGAGGGGAAGTTTAGGTTGGATGTGATAAAAAAGATTTTTACTCTAAGGGTGGTGAGACACTGGCACAGGTTGCCCAGGGATGTGGTGGCTGCCCCAACCCTGGCAGTGTTCAAGGCCAGGTTGGATGAGCCTTGAGCAACCTCATCTAGTGAGGAGGTGTCCCTGCCCAGGGCAGGGGGTTGGCACTAGATGATCTGTAAGGTCCATTCCAACCCTTAAATTCTATGATTTATTCTAAAAATATAAGGGTGGTGAGACACTGGCACAGGTTGCCCAGGGATGTGGTGGCTGCCCCAACCCTGGCAGTGTTCAAGGCCAGGTTGGATGAGCCTTGAGCAACCTCATCTAGTGAGGAGGTGTCCCTGCCCAGGGCAGGGGGTTGGCACTAGATGATCTGTAAGGTCCATTCCAACCCTTAAATTCTATGATTTATTCTAAAAATAAAGTATCAATAGAAGAGTGTGCAAGAGATGGTTGACATAAGCATTTTCCAGTATATTTGGTTCAAGTTTTCTGTTGCACCATAAATAAACTGTGGTTTTAATCTGTTGAGCTCAGTTTATTATAAACTGAGTTTGAATAATCTTCCAAATAAGTAGATAATATAGATTAAAATGATTCTGACCTACTAGGGTCTTCTCTCTCTCAAAAGTTCCTTACAGCCTGCAGTGTGTTTGTACCTTAGGAATGTCTCTTTTTCTAAAGACTAAATGTAGTTCTTGGAGAACCTGCAGAAACTGCTGACTTCTGAAATAAATGTTAGAAAATACTTCCAGGTAGTATCAGGTCTTTAAATATACATGAATAAAAATATGAACCTTTATAGTTCACTATGTAAACAGGCAGGAAAGGAATAATGAACAAAAACTTAGGCTATTTCTGGGCTTGACAATGGTGACATGAAAAATCAAATTAAGATCCAAGAGGCTAAATTATGGACTTTGCATATTGTACTTCTGTTCACTTAGTTTGGGTATTTTCTTGTGGCCTCTCTACTCACGTTGTGCCTAACAATGCAGGGCTGTGGTTTATGCAGAAATGGAAGAAATCTGGTTCATTATTGCAACTGACGTGTCGAGACCACTCGGATCCGCGACAGACGTTCTTGTATAAACTCAGTAAAAAAGCAGGTAAGCTTTGGTAGTACTTCCTGTCTCTGAAAGGTCACTGTGTATAAGTGGGAATAGGAAACCTAAAAAAAGAAATTGCTTCCAGCAAGCTCCTGTTTTAGTTTATTTAAGAGTTTCTTTGGCTTTAGTCCTGTATTCTTTAAGGAAAGTAAACAGTAAACCATTTTTGTTGTAGAGCTGAACCGTAACTTTGAGCCTTTCCTTCCTGACTGATGAGCAGAAGCTCTGAGTGCAGCCACTGTGCTGATAGATATGTGGGGGTTTAATCTCTCTCACTCTCAGGAGATACATATATACACATATATGTCATCCCCTCAGGCTCTTGGATCTCACAGTCAGAAGCAGCACTAGTTAGCTTCTCTGCTTCTCCCAAAATTTTTGGACTTTTTCTCTTCCCAGAGAAGAATCTGTTCTGGAAGGAGGGAGTTTTAGTGCTGTAATGTTGACACCTTACAAAACACTCTTATCAGGAGAAGCAGATTTTGTGTATGACACTGCAGAACTAAGATTTTTGAGTCTTCTGAACATATGCAAAATTCTCCCCTAACACTAGTTTTAAACTTGAAAAGAACCTTTGCAACTGAAAAATGATAAATATATAATGAATATTTCACTCCCATCTACACCATGCAAGTCTTTCTTTGTAGTGTCAGTCAGTCATTACTTGAAGGAATAGTTACCCAGAACTTGCTCTCTGCAGTTTAACTTCTGAACCTCAATTTTCTTGTACTGTAAAAATCTTTCGGTAGGATTTTTTTTAAAGCAGCCAGTAAGAAGTAAATAGGTTTTCCTGACAGTTACAGCTGCTCCAGTGCTGCTATTTGTGCATTGGAGTTCATCCTGTGACAGGAATGAATGATAATTATCCAGTCCTGAGATAAAAGCTGAAATTGTGACATGTAAATGCTTCACACTCAGCAGCAGATGCTTAATATCATTAGTCAGGACCCAATTTTGTTTGTTTATTTGTTTTAAAAGTAGCTGATACAAACTCAGGTTTGTTGTTTGCTGGAAAACTTGATGTAAATTGATTAACATGTTACGTTGTACTTGGTAAATATAGCTCTGTGCTGGAATAGTGATTCATCTAAGTGACAAATCTGGAGTTACAAACTTGTTGTCATCGTTAATGTGGTTAATATCCTTAAATTAAAATGGAATTGTTCACTGCAACACAGGGATCTGATTTAGAGTGGCTGCTTGGATTGTTCTTTCAACAGCATATCCAGATGGGATTTTTTTTTTTCAGACCTGACTCAGACCCAGTGCTGGAGATATAGTTAGCTCTCATTTAGCAAGTGAACTCTGGCAATGTTTAGTTTCATTTTCAACTAATTTTTCAAGGCAGAATGACAGATAAGTTATTTTAACAATTTTCTTTGTCTGTTTCTGGTGTATAAATAGGAATTGATTCTCAAATTTGCAAATGCCTCTTGAAGTGATTGAGTCAATAAATTACAGTGAGTGACAAGTGATGTCAGTGGTTAGCTAGGTGGCTGCTTTGCTCAGTCTCTGCTTCTGTAGTGTTGTGTGTAGTTTCAGACAATGACAGCAGGTAGTGAGAAGAATTTTAGACTTAAATGTTTGCTATTTCTGATTGGATTATTGTTTAAAAAAAATAAATCTGGATGTTTTCTTCCTGGACTTGAGCACTCAAAATTCTACTAAGTTAAAGCTATTTTCTCTTACTGTTATTGCCATTGCTAATTGCTGATCAGAGGCAATATCTGACCTTACCTGCTGCACACCTATAGTTCCTACACATTGGCACTGGTTTGAGTTAGCTCACGTTGTAGAAACCCAATTTTATTTTCACCATTTTGACTCCTTGCTTTCCCATCCGTATAGTCGAGTGTGATCTGTGCATGGCACATGATCCATGTCAGAATTAACAATTCAAGACATGAGACTTGGACCTTTTTCTTCAAAACAGGCACAAAAAGCAAAGAAAAAAAACAGCCCAAGAACAGATAAGCAGTAAAACTCAAGCTTACAAAATACCCTATATATACCTTCTTCACTCCTACTCAAGAGTTCCCTCAAACACTTTGATAATGAAAGATTCCTGATACTTATCATGCCTAAAATAAAGGGAAGCCCAAGACATTGTTTTTATGAACCAGGATATGAAGGGTAAAAGTGAATTGCTGTTACTAGAAGGGGATGCCAGATACATTGGACTGTGATGTCTAAGCCTGTTCTGGATTTGTTTTGTTGTGCTATAATGGACACCTTTTCTGTTTTCCTCTAGGTCTTCATTACTTCAAAAACATTGTGTTAGTAGGATCTCTGCAGGATCGTTATGTTCCTTATCACTCTGCTCGCATTGAGATGTGTAAAACAGCTTTAAAGGACAAACAATCAGGTAATAAATATCCTGCACAATAAACAGACTGCTCAGGTTAAAAACTCCCAGTTAGCAGTCTCATCCCATCTAATTTTGGGTGCTTAACTGAGACATCTCTAAGATGTGTTTAGATACTCTGGGATTTGTAGTAATGGAGAGGGAAAATCCATGTGGGAGCTGAATTGCTTTCTGGATCTGTCCTGCTCTGTTAGGTGCAGAAGGAGATGAGACTGAGTAAATTTCTAGCTCACCAACTTTGCTGACAGGTGGGATGGACACAGCCCCTGATGTGTTACTCCATGAACAGGGAGGACAAATAGCTTTGATTTTTGAGGAGTTGTAGTGTCAAGCCCTGGGCTGTGTTTAGTTGAGGCTTAGTACCAGCCCTGAAAGAAAAAAGGTAGTTTTCCCATTTTCCATGAGGGTCAGTTGTATTTACTGTTGAGACATCCTGGCCCAGCTGCACTCTAGCATTACATACTGACAAATAAATAACTTCTACGTAGTGTAATAAATCAATACTGATGAGCACATTCTCACTGTAAATGTACTAAAATCCATAGCTTAAAATTACTTTTCCAGCATTTCTGGGGAAATTAAACTTCCTGTATACCCAATCTTACCCAAACACAGCATAACACATTTCATTCCCACACTTGCTCCGGAATGTGTATTGATTTTGAGTTCAGGGTCAAAGAACTGTGTTTATTTCTGGCAATTCACACAGTACAACTTCCCTTTTCCTCTGCAGGACCAATTTATGCTGAAATGATCCAGAACCTGCTCCTGCCAGTTCTGCAGAACAAGGAATGTAATTTGGTTCGTTACAATGTCATCAATGCATTGCCCAACACGGCGGATTCTCTCATCGGGAGAGCTGCACACATTGCTGTTCTTGACTCAGAAATATTTTTGGAAAAATTCTTTCTTGTTGCTGCCCTAAAATATTTTCAGTAGAGAAAAGCATTGTAAGAGACTTGGTTATTACCTCATTAACAGATGAATCAAAAGATGTGTGGTGTTCAAGTATAGCTGCAGCTGTATTTTAAGAGATATTTATACTTTTTATATGGAAGATAATTTATATCATCCACACTTAGGGCTTTTTAACATCAACTTTACTTTCTAGGTAATGTGGCTGTGCAATATTTTTTTATTTTGTTCTTTTTACTTTTCTATTACTTTTTCTTAATTTTGGGTACCTAATTATTTGGAGATTAAAGCACAGTGTACTTTTGGTTGGTTTGTTCTGGGCTCTCAGACTACAGAAGTCGATGTTACTTCGCTACATTTCACACGAGGCTTCAGATGCCAAAAATAAATTGGATTTTAAAATAATAAGAAGGTCTTACGTGTTCAGTTGTATTTTAGCACCGTAGGAAGTTTAACTGGAAACACATGGAGCTGCTAAAATACTGGATGTTTGGGAAGGACTCTATCTGCAGGTGTGGCAAAGAAGTGACCGAGTTGTCTGTTCAGGTTTCACTACAGCTAAACAGTTTTCTACAAAGTCATTACCACCATTGTTAAACGTGTTTTGCCTGTAGGAATATATTTTCTACTGATCTCAAAAACATGCTAGTTTACATACTCAGATTTTATTACTGGAACTTCCATTTTCAGAAGCAAATGGCACCTGAGGATTTTTGAATGTTCCCTTCAGACCATGGGGGTTTTGCAAACTGCATTACAGCAGCTCCTTCCTCTGTCAGTTCCTCAGCTGAACGTGGACACTTTTACATGGACTTCCGTCTGTGTATGGAAAAGAAGTAAATGTTATAAATTTCTTGCAATACTTTTATGAATCTAAGCAATTTTTAAATATTGTTAAAATGTTTTATTGACTACAAAGTATTGTAAATACAAATTAATACATCTTCAGATGGGACAATATTGTAAACTTTACCTGTTTAGTGACATGGACAAAACGTTTTTGATATACAGAATGTTAAAGGTCTGTTGACTTTCTACTGGTGCTGAACAGCATTGTTTGGGTTCCCCTTCCTTCCCTTTTCTCTGTTGCAAACAATAATTCACTGAAGGTGGGGG